AATATATATTGCACTTATTTGTAGAAAAAGTTAACATTTAAATTAGGTGTAGTATAGTTTAATGGTATCACTATTTAAACTAATTAATTCAAATAATATTTTTAAAATAAAATTTAATTCTATAATAATATTAATAAAAACTAATCATTTTAATTACTTTTTTTTTATTGATTTTAATAAAAGATATGATTTCTTCTCTCTTGTTTCACTGCATAGAAAATGAGAAGAAAGAAAAATACATATTTAGAAGAAAAAATTATTAATATTCTTATATTTACAAATTTAAAATAATGAATTAAAAATATTATTTCCCAAATAAAATAAAACAAAATTAACAACATAAATTAAAAAGTAAATTATTTGAAAAAATAATTTATAAATAAAATAATAATAAAAATTTAACCTAATCTCAGTATTATGTATTTAATTGTACCAATATTCATATGAATAGTGCTTCTATTTGGCATTGAATGTTGCAATACTTGTACACTTGTGTGATCAGCCAACGAATAATAAGGTAAGTGGCATTTTCGTCTTTTTAAAAATAATTTACTGTCTCTTTTGTTTGTCTTCCTAAAACTAGCGGAAAGATAATATGGGCATGGACCACAGAAAAATTATTTCCTCTCATACTTTCACTGAAACCAAACAAAGTAAGCAAATTATAATCATCCCTTTCTTTCCATTATGTTTATTTTCGTTTTGTTTTCATTCCAACCAAACATAGTAAGTGACTAAGTGAGTGTTTGGAGGCGCCTACTCAAATCAACTTTTGAGAAAAAAAATTGGAAAATTTTGTTTTGTATTTTTTGCAAGAGAAAGTGTGATTTTTTTTTTAAAAAAAATTTATGTTGCTACAAACGGTCCCAAACATAGTGGAAGTGTGTTTCTTTTATATTTTGTTACATTCTCCAACACAGTTCAAGAACAAAAAGGTTGAATTGGGGTTGAATACAACTTTAAATTGAAAAAACAAATACAATTTATATTAGCAAGAATTTTAGTGAAGTGATGCTGACTTAACATTGATGATCGTCTATTTATAATTAAGAATATCTTGAGATGGAATGGAGTAGAGGGTGACGGCCCCAACGACGAGTAGGAAACTTTTACTTGTTTGAGAGTAATATTTTATGGGTTAATCATTCATATATTATTTGGCAACCAATTATATCTTTTAAATTATTTTATTTTATTTTTATTTTATTAAATGAGTAATTGATATGACATTATTAAAAATATGATTGGTTGTTAGTATAAAAAATATTTTACATTGATAATGTATAGGTAATTAACTCATATTTTATTGGATTAAATATTTTACTAAACATATTTAAATCTGTTTTAGTACTTTACTTCAGATTTAGGTAAGTTTTATTGTTCTGTTTCAGAACATATCAAACTCATGCAATGAACTTAGCTAGTTCATAAATAAATAAATAAGAAGAAGAAGCCTGTGAATCTAAAATCTTACATTAGTCCTCTGACACAGACATTTTATAAAATGCCACGTAAAGATGACATCGAACGAATGGAACCTTATTGTTGCTTGTTTCCTTTAGAATTTCTACTATAGGAACAAAATCATGATGACCATAGAGAAGTGGGATGAATATGGGGGCAGCCAAGGTGCAATGAATGCGAATCAAATTTATATATATGGATGCCAGATTCAAACAGTGTCGAGGTGGTATATAATATATACTCTGAAATTTTGAAAATCTATGCAATATTTTCAAAGCTACCACTAACTTTATGAACATGAGGATTTGACCTTGCTTTGAAAGCTTTAATTATGTTCGGTTCAGAGCATTATTTATATATTATAGAGAGAGAGAACCTTTTACTTTGTGCTGAATGTGGCTTGCACTAGTCGAATGTTGCATATTTTGACGTGGCTACTTTCATCTATTAAATTAATTAAATCATAAAGATATTGGGTAGTATATATTATTTGTTTCCAAATGTAAGAGTTAGAGTTCCCTAGTTAGAATACCAATTAAGAACAGGCTTAATTATGTAGAAGTTCAGGCTCTCGAGGTATAAACTAAAAAAACCAAAACAAATTTACAATTTTGCTTTTCACCATTCCAATACTCGTCCCATCCATATATATATATATATATATA